ACACACACACACACACACATACGTGATTGAAAGACGCCTCAGCAGGTAAAGCCTGATCCCCCCAAAACTCAGAAAAGTTACCCTTTGACCTTTACAGGCTGGCTGTGGCACATGTGCACCCCCATCAATAACTTTTTAAAAGATGTATTTCTGGGTAAGGGTGTTTGGTCTGCATATATGTCTGTGTGCCATATGTGTGCCTGGTGGCCGCAGAGGCTGGAAGAAGGCATTTAATCCCCAGAAAGAGAGTTACAGATGGTTGCAAGCCACCACACAGGTGCAGGAGATCAAAGCCAGGTCCCCCAATCGAGCAGCCGGTGCTCTTAACCACGGAGCCATCTCTCCAACCGGTAACAATAAGCTTTAAAGAGACATATGTGTATCTTGATGGAAGCCTGACTCTTGTGGAGGGACTGCTAGGGGTGCAGTTAGGACGCCTTGCAGGCTGGGCTCCTCCTGGGCCTGAAAGAGCTCTACCCTTAACCTTGAAACGGTTGCTTTGAGCCCTTTTCATCTGCTGATGGTGGGGGGGGGGACGACGACGACACACATTTATGAAGAGTAAACAGGCCTGATTTCAAAAGCAATTAGAATTCGTCTTGATTGAGAAAATGAATACTCCGGCAAGCAAAGCAGGGCCACAGCTAAAATCGCAACCCAACAAGAAGGGATGAGACTTCACCCCCGGTGTCAGCTTCTCCTCTGCGGTCACACACACACACACACACACACACACACACACACACACACACACACACACACACACACACACACCACAGTGGACCAGGGTGCCAAGCAGCTGGGAGCGGGTGACACTCTTGAATCAGAAGTGTGTCACACAGCTCGACTCGGTGCTGGGAATTCTCCCAGCACTGTCAACATTTCAGATTCACAGCAATCAGTAAAACGCAGGGTTCGGAAAGACTGTTCAAACATGAGTGATTTTTGAATATTTATTACGCAGAGCTTAACAGATGGGTTTAGTATTTTCTTCAAGGAAAGCTGGACAGAGTGGCTTTAGGGCAACAGACCATGCAAACCTCAGCAGTATCATCCCCGGTTGTGTGGCTGAAGATGACCCAACTGTGCCATAGCCCAAACCACCTTGTGACAGAAGGTTCTAGTTCTCTGCAGCCTGGAAGAAGAACGCAATGGAAAGACTGCTGCTCAGGGGCTGTATGCCTTAGTCACTGTGGAGAAGCTGGTGACTAGACAGATTGTAAAAGCCTGTCTCTATGGCACAGCCAACCCAAACATCCAGACACATGGACAAACCAGATGTGGCAATCCCATCTACACTCAAGAGATTCTGACCCTTGGGCTCAGGTTTTAGGTTTTGTTTTTTTTTTATTTAAAAAATTGTATGTGTATGAGTGTTTGCCCAAATGTATGTCTACCATGTGCCTGCCGTGCCCACTGAGGTCAGTCCCAGGGACTGTAGTTACAGATGATTGTAAGCTGTCATGTAGGTGCTGGGAATCAAACCGAAGTCCTCTGGAAATAAATAGCTAGTGCTTTTTTGGGGTGGGGGGCAGAGAGAGCGTTTCAACACAGGGTTTCTCTGTGTAGCCTTGGCTGTCCTGGAATGTGCTCTGTAGACCAGGCTGGCCTTTAACTCAGAGATCTGCTGCCTCTGCGTCCTGAGTGCTGAGATGAAGGGCCTGTGCCAAGCCACCCCATTAACCACTATGTTGGGCTCAGTTTTTAAAAAACAAGAACAAAAAGACGATCACAGCAGGGCAAACTGCTACCATAACATGACAAGAAAAAGGTAGAAAGTGGGGTGGCCTAGGGCTGTTGCCCGGTGAGTGTAGACCAGAGGCCCCAAGCTCAGTACCTAGCCCCATGTCCAGTGGTTCAGAACTACCTGTAAATGCAGCTCCAGGGAATAAATAGGACTCCCATTTCTGGCCGCCTGAAGGTACCTGCACACATATACAGACACATAAAAAAATAGAATACAAAGTTCCAAAAAGGAAAGAGAAAATCAGCTTTTAAGACCCCCCAAATGAAAGGCTAGTGAGTGAACTCTGAGAAGTACCCACTAGGGTATCAGTGGAGAGAGCTAGGGAGGAAGAAAGGAGAGTCATCCTCCAGTGTCCACGTCCTCAGATCCAGACATCCGCAGATCCAGACAAGTATTTTTTGAAGCCAGTCTTGGTGGCACAGCCTATAAATCCTACATGTCAGAAACAGATGAGTATCTTTCTACACCTCAGATTTCATTAAATAACAATGAATTCCACAGCTACACCAGCAGCAATTTGCTAACCGGTCCCAATGTCCCTCGACAGCTGGCCCTTGGCAAACAGATTCTCAGCTGGTAACGTTGGCCAAATGAGCACACATTCCACAGTAATGCATGCTGACAGAATGACCACAAAGGGTTAAAAAGGTCCATGTGGAGACAGGGCTGCTACAGGAGAGTTCCAGTGAGCCCCTGAAGCTGGCAGGTAATATACCAACAACCCAGATGGAGAACTTCTGGTTGTGCTCAGAGCTGCTGTGGGGTCGGACACAGGGTGAAGCTGGGCCACTGAGTGGTTAAGGGCCACTGAGATAAGACGAAGGACTGGGTCCAGACAAATGGATAGAGGATGAATGGATAGATGGATGGATGGATGGATGATGAATGGATGAAAGGCTGGGTAGATGGGTGATGGATAATGAATGGATGTTGGATGGATGGATAAGTGGATGATAGACGAAAGGATGGATGTTGGATGGATGGCAGTTGGAGTTAGTGGTATCAGATCTTGCCCTGCTTAACTAAGGGCCCTGGGACAGTTGGGAGTTCTCTGCCTATCGGTCCCTTAACACATACCAGGTGGTGAGATGGCAAGTTGGTGGGGAAATCACTAGCTCAGTGTTCAGTGTCTTCATTAAGGAAAGTTGGGGATAGATGTAGCTCAGCTGTTAAGAATGTTTGTTTAGCATGCATAAAGCCCTGGATTTGATCCCCAGAACCACATAAACGAGCTGTGGCAGTGCACACCTGTAATCTCAGCACTCTGGAGGAGGAGACTTGAGGGTTAGAATTTCAAGGCCATTCTCAGCTACACAGTAAGTTGGAGACCAACCTGAGTTGCATGAGACCTTGGCTTACACACACACACACACACACACACACACACACACCCATAAAATATCAAAAGACTAAGGAAATTGGAATAAATCATCATCTTCAGATAATACTGATGTCCTCAAATTATAAATGTACACTTTTTCAGTACTGGGTTTGTATGCAGGGCTTGTTTATGCCATGTAAATGCTGTGTATTCCTTGGCCGCACCCCAACTGCCTCACTCAGAATGACTACAGAGAGGAGGAGAGTAGGTACACAAAGATGTGCCCAAGGGCCCTGGGCCACAGGAGGCTCCTCTGTCCTGGAATTAGGGAGGAAGCCACATGGACACCTACATGTGGCCAGTGTCGGCCTGTCTGGAATGAACATGTTAACAACCAAAGGAAGCCCAGGCTCAGTAACACTGGTGCCCAAGCACCTGACCTTCCCCTTCTACACCGTTTCCATTTCCTGCCCGGAAGAGCTGTAAGGGAACTTTTGCAGACAGACAGGAAATACTAAGGACCCTGGCTGGGGACTGTGGAAATTGGCGGGAAGGGTCAAATTCAAGGTGGCACGGCTCTGTTATGGCTAACAGCAGTGAGTTAATGTCTCTGCTTTAATGCCAGGGTGGCAATCACAGTCAACCCAACCATGCAGGTGTTGTGTTGCAGGAAATCCTGTCCCATTTGGTTTCTCTTCTTCCCTGTTAGGAAACACATCCATTTCCACTCCCGAGTCCGATATTAAGGCCACAGTGTCATTTCATTGTGTTCTAATATGTCCAGCAGTCGCTCTGCTGGCTTGGGATTTCAGGGAAATCAGGTTCAGAGCAGTAATTTCTGGCTATGATAATGAGTGGGAGAGATTGCTTTCAGGGCTCTGACTCAATATAGGGAGGTCACTTTGCAGTCCATGGTGATGGATGGGTCCAGGCCTGCTATTATCTTCACTAGACGAGGCAGACTGCTTTA